TGTTCGTCACCTAATGCGGAGTTCGCAAATGGAAGCAAAATTTTGTGAACGGTGCTGTTCGTGAACCGAATTGTTCATGAACAGAAGCGTTCGTGACCCGAGGTACCACTGTATTACTATTAATATGGTTCCATAAAAACTACTAAAGTGAAAGGTAAGACTATAGAGGCAGTAATAATCTGACTCAGAGATCATATCCTATATTTGATTTCGAGGAAAGACTGAAGCATACAGTATAGTAAAATTCCATGCAACTCGGCTACCCTGTCATTATGATGTACTATTTCTGTTGGGAAAGAATTTTTATTTAATTTAAGGCTGGAAAACACACACACACGCTTATAAATAAATATTTCTTATTCTTTCAGAAACTTGAATTAGCAGAAATTGGGAATAGACATGTAAATGAACAACTGGACCAAAGGTAATGTTTTTCTTTGATTGATTGATTGAAAGATAGATATACTTTATTGATTACAAAGCATGGGCATCAGCCGTAATAAGACACAATAAAATGAAATAAAACAAAATAAAATATAGTAAAGGTAAGTATAGTAAATATAGTAAAGTAAGATAAAATAAAGAGAAAAGAGTAAGAGAAAATAGTATAAGAGAAAATATAATGCAGAGATATATAATAAGGTAAATATTAAAATTCAAAAACAGTGTATGTTCAGGTGAATTCATCACTTTTGCATGCAACCCCAATGTGTAAACCATATTCTCTGTTGGACAGCCTGACTATAACCTTAGCAGTTCTAGTGACTACATATATGTTTGTTTCCTGAAGGAAAGAAAATCTTTTGTTAGAGTCCCAATATATGGTTCTATCAAGCAGTGTCTGTAAGTACTGAGCCCTTGCTGAGACATATGTCTTCTATTTCTGATGTTCCACAAACGCATGTTCTCTCAAAATATGGCACTTGGTGGAATTGTCCATATTTGACCATAGAATCTAGCTGCTGGAATCTTGCTCTGGTAAGGGCTATCCTGTGGTATTGAGTCAAACCCATTGTCAAGTATTTTTTTGTTTGAGAGGACATTTTATTTTTGGCCAGCCATTTCAACAACCAGATGTTTGCAAAGGACTCGATATCGGTTTGGGCATTAACATCCAGGACTCTTTGTTAGTATATTGCCTTGGCTTGATATTTGGCTGAGAATAGATATTGTGTTGAGAAGCTGAGATGTGAGATCATTTGAAGAAGTTGATTGATCCATGTGGTGGGTTGAAGTGTGCCCATCTGTTCTTAAGGGCACATTTTTGGTAGTCTTTCAGGTCCCACTGAGAGGGTCCTTCACCGCTAATTAAAGACTTTAATTACTATTAGACTATAAATGGAATGGGTGCCTGTTTCTGCTCTTACCACTACTGCAGGTAGTGTCCTGTCAGTCCTCAAGATAGTTCTTAAAAAGTGTGCTTGATTTTGTTCGAGTAAAGAGGCCTTTGATAGGCCCCACAGGTCTGTGCCATATGTTAGCATTGGTACAATTTTTGCCCTGTGGACCTTTAAAAGGGAGAGCAGGGTGTTTGGGTGATTAAAACTAAGTAATTTAATTAGCATTTTAGAGATTGCTGTTGCCTTTATAGAACTTCATTTGAAGTGGTTGGCCCAAGACAAAAACCACCTCTAAATATGAGAAGGAATCTATTTGTTTTATAGGCTCCCCATCCAAGTGCCAATTGTATTTGGGCCATCTTTTTCCAAAAACCACCACTTTGGATTTGGTCTTATTAATATTCAAAAAGTTAGAAGTGCAATAGGCACCAAATTTCCTCATCAGTCTTCTCAGGCCTATTTGGGAGTGTGCCATCAGAACCATCTGCATACAAAAGGATGTCAATGTGTTTGTTAAGGATCTTTGGCATGTGAAACATCTATAAAATGGAGAAATCCTGGGATGTCATTAACATCAAGATTGAATATCATCGGGGCCAAGGTGCATCCTTGTCTAACACCTTTGTAAGTGGGTATGCTCGGTTTAAGTGAGCCATTGACTCCAGTACAGACTTTCACGCATGTATTTGTATAGAGGGCCTTTACCAGGTATAAAAATCTAGGTTCCATATTTGGCTTGGCAAGCTTCTTCCATAAGATGTCTCTATTTATGGAGTCAAATGCCACACTAAGATCTGTGAAAGATTTAGACAGATATTTACCATCTTTTGTATATTTGATAATAAGATGGTATAAAACAAAGCAGTTATCTATTGTGGAGTATCCAGGTCTGAACCCAGCCTGTTCTTCCACTAATATATTCTCAATCACCCAATCTTCTATTTTTCTCAAGAGATGTTTTGCATACATCTTAGCTGTTACATCAGTAAGGCTTATGGGTCTGTAATTTGGGGGGGGGTCTTCCTTGTCTCCTTTTTTGTGTAT